GGATAATGGGAAGTGTTTGACCCGTTAATGTTTAGGATGAGGATAATGGGTAGTGTTTGACCCGTTAATGTTTAGGATGAGGATAATGGGTAGTGTTTGACCCGTTAATGTTTAGGATTAGGATAATGGGTAGTGTTTGACCCGTTAATGTTTAGGATGAGGATAATGGGTAGTGTTTGACCCGTTAATGTTTAGGATGAGGATAATGGGTAGTGTTTGACCCGTTAATGTTTAGGATGAGGATAATGGGTAGTGTTTGACCCGTTAATGTTTAGGATGAGGATAATGGGTAGTGTTTGACCCGTTAATGTTTAGGATGAGGATAATGGATAGTGTTTGACCTGTCAGTGTTTAGGCGGGTTCTCAAAATGACACCAAATGAATCACAGATGCTCAAAATAACACCAAGTAAATCACAGGTGCTCAAAATGACACCATAGCCTACATAAGGTGGGTAATTAGGGCGTGTGGGTCATGTCATTAAGAAAATACTGCCCTTGTCTTAAGTTCACTCTTGCTGTTGATCATTTCAGTTACATCTCTCTCTTACTAACAATGTCTACGCGGTCTAATGGTTGCCTTCAGGAAGTGAGTGAATTACATTGGTTATTATAGGAATTTACGATGCATTGATGCTTATTATCGCTGTGTTGTTTAATATATCGGCATAAAGGTTTTACTATGTTGTTATTTGGGCAGTCCGTTTGTTTGCTAGTTCGTCCGTTCGCCCGTCTGTCTGTGAGTTGACTTCGGTTCTACTTATTTTGTCGTTTATGCATAAAAATAATGTAAATAAAATAAAGGTTCGTGGACTCTCGCCTCACTGTGGGCTGATGCTGTTGCCTCCTCCTCAAGTTCTGGGATATAACCACCTAACCCATCCCACCATCCACCAAACCCAGTGGTTCTCAACCGTTTTCACTCCATTCCCCACTTGAGGAATTTTCAACATCCTCGTGGCCTCCTTCATTTTCCCCATAAATAATGTTGAAAAATAAAATGCAGATGAAAAGAATAGCCTTATTTTATTTCAAGGTTGACAATCATCATTATCTTATATTTTGATAGACTTACATGATTTACATAACTGACGTCACTAGACTAGAGTGACTACTAGACAAGCCTCACAGCAAACTTGAATTTGGTTGGGAAAAAGTTCATATGACCTCTGCATATTTTGTCACAGCTCAATGGGAAGGCTGACATTGTTTCCTTTCAGTCAGGTGACTGATCCGAGGTTGTGTCACTGACAGTGCACATCTCATGTCCGGGTCCACATCCAGTCGGTTCCGGCTTTTACTCTTTATATGTAGAAGGGTGGAGAAACCAGATTTTCATAAATAGGTAGTTGAAAAAGGCAAGAGGACTCGAAGTGCAATCTCGCTAACTTTTGGGTATGACTGATACATTGAGCACCAGAATACAGTCAGAGATCTTTCTTCATAGAGATCTTTGGCAGCAGAATCATTCTTGAGATCAAGAAATTCGTCCTGAACATCATTGGGAAGGGCAGCAATATCAAGAGTGCCAGAGAAAGGATTCCTCACCAATTTCCCATCTTCCTCCTCGAATTCTGGGAAATACTTTTTGAGCTCACTTTCCAAGGATTTCAGGTGCTGAGTGATTTCAGTTTTGAGTGATGGGTCAAGCAGATGATCTTCATTCTTATCAAGAACAGTTGAAAGGTTCTCAAACATGGCAGCATTTCCTGCATTGACTTTCCTTTGCCAATTCTGGAGCTTGGCAAGAAAATGCACGAAGACAATTCATGAGGTGAAACACATTTCTGTCCTTGCCCTGCAGCTTGAGATTCAGCCTGTTTAGCTGCTCAAATATATCTGCTAAATATGCAAGACGTGGCTCCCACAACACCTCATTGAAGTGACTTAATAGATCATCTTTCCCTTGCACTTCCAGGAACAACTTAAGCTCTCCCCGAAGTTCAAACACTCGATTTACAACATTGCCCTTGGAAAGCCAGCGCACTTTGGAGTAAAAGAGGAGGGCTTCATGCTCTGAATCCATGTCTCTACAAAGGTTCTGGAAAAAGCGAGAGTTCAGATCTCCAGCTTTCACAAAGTTGACACATTTGGCCACTGCCTCCAGGATCTAGCAAGTTCATCAGGGAGGGTTTTCGACGCCAGTGAAAAACGATGGATCATACAATGGATCCCCTTGGCATTCGGATCTACTTCCTTGACACGCTTCTGGAACCCCGATTTTGATCCCAGCATCGCCGGAGCCCCATCCATACAGACTCCACAACAATTTTCCCAGCTGATCCTGTTAGCTGTGAAGAAAGAAGACAGCTTTTCCATCACATCTACAGCTGTTGTGGTGGTCTCCAGCTGTGTACAGAACAGATATTCCTCCTTGATGTCACACAAGAAAACATACCTCACAAACACGAGTAGCTGTGCACAAGAACTCACGTCCGTTGACTCATCCAGCTGTGTTGCAAACACCAGTTGGAGATAATTTGATCTCCTGTATCACTTTTTCCTTTATGTCATCTGACATTTCATTAATTCTCCGTTTCACTGTATCGTTTGACAAGGAAATTTGTTAAATTTTACGTTCACTTGCCTCTCCAAGAACCCGTTTGACCATTTTTACAGCACATGACTTAATTAAAGTTCACTAATTGTATGAGGCTTCTTTTGCTTTGCTATTTCGAGGGAAACCTCGTATGATGCCTCAACTACACTGACGGTCTGTTGTTGGAAGGCACCACTCTCGTCCAGTTTCTGTTTTCCCAAACTCCGTTCATGGCGCCTGAAGAAATTGGTGTCTCTCCGCATACTGTGGATGGATCGTCATCAGATGATGCTTCAGCTTACTCATAGAATCGTTCCCCAGCACTTTGAAGCACAGGACACACTGATGTTTCTCAATGCCATCAGCGAGGATTGACGTAAATCCGTAGTTAATGTATCCATCGATGTACTTCCTCTTCTTAGCAGCACTAGTAGCCATCACAAATCTAGAGAAAATAAAGAAGACAGAATGTCAGAACAGACAAACAGACAAGTGATAAGACTAAAGAATGGTAAAGAAGGACAGATAAATAGGAAAAGAGTTAGAATGGCAAACACACACACATTCACATACATAACACGTCCATGCTCTCACACATAAAGCACATACAGTCATACACAAACATACACACAGGTAAACATTCACACTCAAGCTAGCAAGCTGAAGTGTACTTCCTGTAAGCAAGAACACGCCTCCTTTGACAAGCACTGCCCAACTTGGAAGAATGAGAAGACTAGTGAGTCACACCAATTTAGCGGTTCAGAGGCAATACCCTCCACTGTTTACGTGATGGTATCCCAGGCCAGACTGAGATCATTCGGTCCTATCACCACTTGCAAAGGGAGGACACACGGACACGTACTGAACAAGTCAGTTCAGCAGCTCGGTCCAGCGCCTGTCACACAGACAGGGACTGGACCTGTGAAATCTTAAATAATCCGTAAAAAAAAAAAAAATGCACTAGAGTATGTAAATATTAAAATTGTATTGTCGTTATGATTAAACAAAATGGCAAAAAAAGAATGAAAATTCTCTTCTGCCAAGTCAAAATAAGTAATACAAGTTTTGTTTAATTCAGATTCCCAACATTATTTGGAAACGTACAATTTATAACAGCTCGCCGTGGCTCCCTTAGGGGCCATGGCCCCCAGGTTGAGAACCACTGACCCTAACCCCATCCCATCATCACACCACCCTACCCCAACATTCACACACCCATAGCACCATCCATAATCATCCACCATCACCAACTCCATCCCAATATCCTACCTATCCCTGTCACCCTCCCACCATCCTCTCCTATCATCCACACCTACCCCTCATCCATCATCCACACCTCTCCCCTACCATCCACATAACACATCCCATCATCCACCACCCCACATCACCCTCCACACCCCTTTCTACATCATCCACCTATCCATCCATCATCCTACATCCCATCCTCCACCTATCCCATCTCACCATCCCCTACCCATCCACCATCCACCCCCATTCACCATCCATCCATCCCCCATCCACCATCCACCACATCCACCACCCCATCCCATCCACCATCCACCACATCCCACCACCCATCACCCACCCCATTCCCTATATCCACTCCGTACCCCATCCACCACCACCTACACCATTCCATCATCCACACCACCCCATCTCACCATCCACATATCATCCCATCATCCACAACACCATCAACCATCCATCCTCCACTTCCCACCATCCACCATCCCCTCACCCCATCTCACCATCCACACCACCATCCATCCACCCCATCCCACCCATCACCATCCCTACCCATCCCAATCCCATCCCACCATCCACCATCACACCACCCACCACCCCATCCCATCCACCATCCCTCCACACCACCCATTCCACCTCCGTCCACCCCATCCACTATCACATCCCATCCATCATCCACCTATCCCATCCACATCCATCCCCCCACCCCATCCATCCACCACCCCATCCACCATCCACCTACCCATCCCACCATCCACCATCCCACCACCACCACCCCACCCACCATCCCATCCCATCCACCCATTCCACCATTCCCCCTCCCATCCCACCCATTCCACCATTCACCCACCCATTCCATCCATCACACCCCATCCACCATCCATCCCACCCCATTCCACCATCCATCCCACCCTCCATCCACCACTCCATCCACCATCCCCCCATCCCACCATCCATCACCCACCCCATTCCCATCCATCACCCATCCCATCATCCACCACCCCATCCACCATCCACACCATCTCACCATCCACCTACACCCATCCCCCATCCACCATCCACCCCATCCACACCTACCATTCCCATCATCACCCATCCCCATCCACACCCTCATCCATCCACCCATCCACCTCCCATCCCCATCCACACCACCCATCCCACATCCACACCACCCCATCCCACCATCCACACCACCCCATTCACCATCCACCACCCCATCCACCATCCCACCCACCCATCCCATCATCCACTATCCACACCACCATCACCACCACCCCATACCATTTACCCACCCCATTCCACCATCCACCCCATCCCACCACCCATCCACCACATCCACCATCCATCCCACCCCATCCCACATCACCCTCCATCCCACCATCACCACCATTCCACTATCCATCCCACCCATCCTATCCATCCCACCCATCCCATCATCCACCCCATCCCACATCCACCCAATCCTATCACCACCCATTCCACCATCCACCTGCCATCCACACCCACCCATCACCATCCATCCACCCCATCCACCATCATCCCACCCATCCACCATCCATCCCACCCCATCCACCATCCACCACCCCATCCTACCACCACCCACACAATCCACCCCCCCCCACCATCCACCACCATCCCACCACCACCATCCACACCACCCCATCCACCATCACACCACCCATCCCACCATCCACCCACCCCATCCCACCATCATCCACCCCATCCCCTGCTCCACATCACCCACTACCCACCACAACCCACGTGACCACCATTCGTTTTCTAACACTACACACACTGGTTACGTCTTTGTCTTACCTCTACTCTGTAATATTTGGCTTCATGTATTTGGCTTCATGTTGGCATTATGGTCATGTATTTGGCTTCATGATTTCCACTTCATGTATTGGTATTCTTGTATTTGGCTTCATGTATTTGGCTCATGTGGCTTCCTTCATGTATTTGGCTCATGCTTCATGTTGGGCTTCATGTATTGGCTTCATGTATTTAGCTTCATGTATTTGGCTTCATATGTTGGCTTCATGAATTTCACATATTTATTTTATCCCATGTATTTGGCTTCTGTTGCTTCTTCATGTATTTCTGTTTTATATAACATTTTATCCTTGCCTCTGTAATATAGTGGTGGGCTTCTGGTGACGCTTATTTACCTGTGTCTTATATAGTTTAATTGGATCACCGAAGATAAATCAGCTGTACCTGGAGGTTTAGGTTGGGGTTATGTCGAGTTATTGTTAGGTTAGGTCAGGTCAAGGTCAGGTCAGGTCCGGTCCTATTGGGTTGAGTTATTGTTAGGTTAGGTCAGGTCAGGTCAGGTCTGTTGGGTTGAGTTATTATTAGGTTAGGTTAGCGTTTGGTTGGGTTAAGTTAGTCCTAAACGTTAGGATATTTAATCTTAAGATGAAATATGATTGTTGAGAGGGCTATTCTTCAGGTGATTCGTTTCTCTCTGTGTCTGTCCGTATTATAGTATTTGCCGATGAACCTCCTCCTCCCTCCTCCCTCCCTCCAGGTGTATAATATGAGGGCTGTAACTTATCTATCGGCTTGTGTCATTATCTAATCAGTGTGTACCACAATCCATCAGTGTGTACCATTATCCTTCAGTGTGTACCATTATCCATCAGTGTGTACCACAACCCATCAGTGTGTACCATTATCCTTCAGTGTGTACCATTATCTATCAGTGTGTACCATTATCTATCAGTGTGTACCATTATCCATCAGTGTGTACCATTATCTATCAGTGTGTACCATTATCCATCAGTGTGTACCACAATCCATCAGTGTGTACCATTATCTATCAGTGTGTATTTGTCATGGTGCCTTCATAACACTAAAATCTCATGGGAGAAATATTTAAGAGTGGAAATAAAAAATAAATCACTAATTAAGCGTAAAAAAACGTTAAAAAAATAATGAATCTTGAAAATGCAAAGAAAAACTATAGATAATTCTCACACTATATACACCATCAACTCTTATGTTATCCTGACGTGTTATACTGATGTTATTTATATAAAGACAGTTATCGTCTCACACTTACAGTATTCCTCACCTCAACACCATATAATTATGGTACCTTGAATGAAATAACCTGTTATCATCATCATCATCATCATTATCATCAACATTATTATTACCTTATCACCATTATCGTCATCATCATCATCACTATCATCATCATCATCATCATCATCTATAAGCAACATGTTCCTCGCCTATCTCCTTGTTTCACCCTCCTTTTTGCCATTCTCTTTTTCCTCTCTTCTCCTCACTTCTCTTATTCTTGCTCTTTTTATCTTTGAATTGAATTGAAACAGTTAATTTAGCCAGAAAAACACAGATACAGAGTGGATAATAATAACAATATTAACATGGCTGAGCCAGTTGAGAACCTGAGCTCTCTTTGAGGCACCTGATATATATTATACATTTATCTCAAGGAAGTATTTTGTAACATTTAGTATCATCTGGAATAGTACAATAGCATGGTGGTAATAAGAACATCTCATAATGTTACCACGGTTATCACTTCAATATTTATTTATTTTATTTTATTATTATTTTTTTATTTATATATACATACATATACATATATATATATATATATATATATATATATATATATATATATATATATATATATATATATATATATATATATATATATATATATATATATATATATATATAAATTACAGTGGAATTGAAAAACATAATTATAATGGGGGAGCAGTACAACCTGGTTGTGCAGTAGTAAGGTTGAACAGGAGGACAGAGCTGTCAGGATTATATCTAGTTGGCAA